CAAGAAGAATGTTTTCCTGGGCCCCTTCAATCCCAGCGCATTTTTGCAGACTTCCTAGACGCTCAAATGCGATCCGGCTACTACCGCCTCGGTGCGAATCGCCCGCCCGACCAAGTTCAGGCAGGGTTCGCCAGCTATACCGCAGGACAAGTCACGGGTTCACTTGCAGAGAAGGCGCCTCAGCTATTGGAAGAGGCATGGTCGGCTGATGAGTCGGGCTTGGATTCCGTGGTTGTAAACACGCCGCTGACGTCTGTATTCCCGGCAGCCAGCACGCCGGTCTCCAATCGCCGATCTGTACAGAGTGATGGTTCTACTCTCATGACCGAGCTGGCCAAAGTTTACCGCCGCCTTCGCGATACTGTACGGTCTAACAACTTTGAGACTCGCCACGACAGGCTCAATATCGAACTGCGAGAGAAAAACGAGCTCTGCCACAGCGATGTCCTGGCTAAATTGGTCGGGTACTCCACTTCGGCTGCAGAGATCCAGCAGCGTGGTACCGAAGCCCAGTACGGTATGACACTGCTGGAGAAGATTCCCGAGCAGAGTTTGACGCACCTCCGCATCTTGGCTGAGACGGCCACTGCGTACCGGGCTGTCGGTGGTCTCAAGGCTGGCGGAGACAACTGGATCGACGAAGAGTTCCGCCTGGATAGCGAACGGCAACACGTTCAACTGTTCGTCTCGCAGTACTTTGGGCAGGAGACGGAACACGTTAGGCGTCCTATCGACATCTATCCGCCGTTACTTGGCCAGGACGCCTTCATCTTCCTCACCGAGTGCGTGTTTGGCGTCATTCCGGCGCAGAACTTTGACGTCACTCATATCCTGAGACTTTGTTATCTTGCGGAGATTGTCAAGATTGTCTACCATATGGGACGCAACATCCCGGTGTCTACCTGGGTGAACCATCTTCTCAACAGGGAGACGCAAGATCCGGCACTTAAGAACTTTGCTGAATTTTGTCTCGCAATCACCAAGACTGGCATGGAGATCAACGTATCCCACCATGAGATGCCGGCGGATCTTGGCGAGAACAAGGGTTTCGGACAACCGGAACTGGACAACCTCGAGGGCTACTATACGTTCGTCAAGAAGTACGCTCTGACTTTCCTAAGGAAGAGCGTCGTTCTTCTCTACATCAAGTACGGCGTAGACTTCAACAGCCACGTTTCTCCTCAGCCAGACGCGGACGAGTTAGACCGCCTCACAGAAGTACTTCGGGTACCAACCTTTGATGAGATGTGTGCCGCCATCACCGACCACGGTCCCAATTGCGGTTGGCCTGCTTCGACGACGAGTCTAGTCAAGGGATGGATCAGACATCAAATCATGTGGCCAGGCGACGCCGATCGTAAGCTTCCCAAGTCCGCGCTCATCAGTCACCCGGGCATTTTCGAGCTGGTGGGTCTGCCGAAGAACTACGATGCTCTCATCGAGGAAGCTACTCGACGGAAGTGTCCGACGACAGGAAAGGACGTCTCGGATCCCATGATTTGCTTGCTCTGTGGAGAGGTCTTTTGCGGTCAAGCAGTCTGCTGTCTTAGAGAGGAGACGGCGTCTGGCGACCGTGAGCCGCAGAGAATTGGCGGATCGCAGCAACACATGCGAAAGTAAGTCTTCATGATGAGTGGGTGAAATCACGCCCGTGCTAACCTTCTCGTGCTCTAGGTGTCAGGGTAACATCGGCCTCTTCCTCAACATCCGCAAGTGCTGCATCTTTTACTTGTTCAGGTTGTCGGGGTCCTTTAGCAGCGCGCCCTACATTGATAAGTACGGTGAGACGGACCTGGGTCTACGCCACGGCCGCCAGCTTTTCTTGAACCAGAAACGCTACGACTCGATGCTGCGTACCACATTCCTCAGTCACGGAATTCCGAGCTATATTAGTCGTAAGCTCGAGGCGGAGATCAACAATGGTGGATGGGAGACGATTTGAGGTTTCGTCGAGTGGACGGAAGTGATGAACTCCTGAGGAAAATGAATGCCACGCATAAAGAGAGATAGGGAACGGGGGAGGAAACTGACGGGAAGGAACACATGTTCTTTACAAATCGGGGGCGGAAAGCGAAGGATAGACATGACATGCATCTTGGGCCCTTTTGTTATCTTCTCATCCTTAGAGACACATAGCAACTTTTGGGGGCTGGTGGCAGGGAGGCAACGTCGGAGTTTCGACAGGTTGGCAACGAGAGTTTGAATTTCAAGATAAGCAGAAAAAATGACATGCTGCACAAAAAAGATTCGCTCGAGTTTTATCCTTGGCATCGATGTCTGCCTGTTGAGAAATTTTGGACGGTTGTCCATCTATCTTGGTATCATATTCAGGTCATCGCCTATACTCGAGATGATTCTGTTTTCTCCTCCCCTCGATGTACATTCATGGATCTGGCCCCCCCTTTCCGTGTGATGTTCTATCACACGCCAGCCATATCGATGTCTTCTTCCTGCTTTATCGGCGGTTCTGTGCCATCCACGTTGGCGACTTCCTCTCCCCTAGTCTCCTCACCAATCGCGTGGCCATTCGTCAGCGTCTTCTCCGCCCCATCGGCTTCAGTACCAGCAACAACGGCGGCAGCAGCGGCCACGGCATCGACCTCCCCTTCACCTAGCAACCTCTTAAAGATGCGTATCCGTCCGTCCTGCCCCGCCGACACCATGACGTCCCCATGGACATCGACCCAGAAACACACGTTGGCACCCTTGCCGCCTCCCCGGTGCGAAGAAGAATCCTTCTTGTGGGCGGGGATGCGCTGAACAACCTCTTTGGTGACGACATCCCACAGCACAATCTCGCCGTCCTCGCTGGCCGAGGCGATGAAGGCGCCCTCGCCGGGGACGAGGCCGAAGCAGCCGCCGATGGCGAAGCGGTTGTTGGCGTGGCCTTGGTACGTTTTCTTGACGGAGCCGGCAACGTAGTCCCAGAGGCGGATGCTGTTGTCGAGGTTGAAGGCGAGGACGAAGCGGCCGTTGGGTGCGAAGCAGACGGAGGTCACGGCGGGGTTGTCTTCGTGGACTAGGGTGCGGAGGCACTGGCCTGTGTAAGTGTCCCATATGCGACTGTTTTTCATGGTTAGTAAAGGATCCCAAACAAGGAAGAAGGGGGGTAAGTCTTGGTAATACGTACATGAGGCCGTCGGTCGAACAACTCACGACCAACGTGCCGTCGCATGAAAAGTCGATGCCGCTGACCGGGTCGCTATGCGCCGGCAAACTACGCATCAAGCGACCCGCCCTGACATCCCACAAAAAAACGGCCTCGTCGTACGATCCCGAGGCGAGTATGTTTCCCTTGGGCGAGAAGGCGAGACACATCACGTAGTTGTGGTGTCCCCGCAGCGGCAACATGGGGTGCGCGGCGGGCGCCGCGTCGTCCTTGGCCATGTGGCCCACGCCCTTTGCCGTGACTTTGGGCCGGCCCGTCACCCGGTCCCAGATGCGAATCGACTTGTCGTCGGAGCCCGTCGCCAGGCTCCCGCTGTTGGGGCTCCACGCCACGCAGTTCACGCCGGCCATGTGGCCCACCAGGGTGTCCATGTGCTCCCCCGTGGCCGCGTCCCACGTCTTGACGGTCCCGTCGGCCGAGGCGCTCGCGATCCACCGGCCGTCGGGCGATATCCGCACCTGCGAGACGGGCGCTCCCGCGTGTCCGCTAAGCACTCTCTCCTCCTCGTACCGTGGCCTCACAGGGCCCTTCTTGACGGGCCCAGGTGTCACGGGCGTCGTCACTGTCGCACCGGTATCTGCGCCGCCGTTGGTCGAGGAGAGCCGTAGCCTGCGGTCGACAGCGCCTGAGAGACTGCCGCCCGATGTGGACGCAGGCGACCGTGACCCCGCGCGTGACTCGTCCTCGTCCTCGTCATTATCATCGTCGTCGTCGCTGCGTGAGCGGGAGGGCGAGGCGGTCGCCGACCTTGGTGTGCGCGATCGCGACCGCGACCTCGAGTGCGACCGTGATCGAGATTTGGAGTGAGATGAGCGTGAGTAGTATGCCGCCTCGTTGAGCTCGTCCTCGCTAGGAGACCTGCTAGGCGTCATGCTAGGACGGCCGCGGTTGGTTGACAGGCGGCGAGATGTGCTGGACCGCTGCTTCTTCGTTCTCGTTGTCGTCGCGGTGGTCTTCTTGACGGCTGCGGCTGCCGTGGTGGTCGTGACTGTCGTGTCATTGAGCTCATCTGGTGAGCTTGATCGCGGTGTCGCGGATGTGCTGTGTGCGACGACTTTGCGACGTTTCGGAGGGGGTTCGGGGAGAGGCGTCGCTGCTGCTGAGGAGCCGAGGTCTGACATTTTTCGCGTTATGTTTGGGTATGAAGGTACGAGTATATGAGACGGGCTACCAGGTCCCTTTTGTGTTGGTCAAGGAGGCTGTTCATTCGATGGCGGGCGGGGTGGTGGAAAATAGGAGCAATCGATGCCCAGGAAAGCCAAAGGTAAGGCTGAATGAAAGGACGGCAAGAATGATCAGCAACTTTTGGCGCGTTGAAAAGAAGCAGGGGTCGCTTGACTGACGTTTAGCGGTTGCTTTTCAGCCTCGTCCCCACCGCACAGGTCATTCTGGGGTCGAGCTCTCCCCCTGATAGTGTGTGGGACCGCTAAGATAAGAATCCGCTGCTGCCATGTTCGTACCGATTGGCCAATGGCGGACTATATGGGGCCTCGTCCGGCCGAGCATCTGTAAGAGTGGGTCGCTCTTCCGTCGACAACCCCCGGCCTGCCGGCAAACGCAAACGGGACAGCTCCTTGAAAGTTGAGAAAGGGAAAAAAAAAAAAGAAAACCGAACGCAACGTCACCAAAAGTCCAAGCGTCCGTTGTAGTGACCTCTTCATCCCATCTCGCGAAAGCCCCGCGATCCGACCTCACTTTTGACGGTAATGCGACTTCATTCTCTCATCTTTGCCAATGCCATAGCGCCAGTCCAGTCAAATACCCATCATTACAACCACTGCAGAGCTTGAATCCTGCTCTCACACTCCACTTCGGAAGCTTCGGCGTAATCACCTACAACTGCCGACCTATCTTGTTGCAGCTGGCTGTCGTCTTACACGCGTTCGACACTCCTCTTTGATCCAATATCTCTTCCCGATTTTAAGCCATCTTAATCTTTATCTTTTTCCACAATCTCCTCGGTGGCCTCCCTATTTCTTTCCCCACATCTTCTCATCTTCACAAAACATAATCTTCAGAATATTCACCTCGTCATCTCGATACAGCAAACAACATAAAACCAAACACAAAAAATGGACGACCCTCTCCCAAAGGACCTTCGCCTCCTAACCCTCAACTGCTGGGGCCTAAAATACATCTCCAAGCTCCGCCCCCAACGCCTCGCAGAGATCGGCCGCCGCATCGCCGCCCTCCCGGACCCGCCCCACGTCGTCGCCCTCCAAGAGTGCTGGGTCACCTCCGACTACGACGCCATCCGCGCCGAGACCGCCGCCGTCCTGCCCCACGGCAAGTTCTACTACTCGGGCCCCTTTGGCGGCGGCCTCGCCGTCCTCTCCCGCTGGCCCATCGACGAGAGCTCCATGCGCGCCTACCCCCTCAACGGCAGACCCACGGCCTTTTGGCGAGGCGACTGGTACGTCGGCAAGGGCATCGCCTGCGCCCGCATCCCCGTCCGCCTCGCCGGCGCGGACGGCGGACCCGGCAGGGACCACGTCCTGAGCATCTTCAACACTCACACCCACGCGCCCTACACCGAAAACCAACCGGGCGACACCTACCTCGCCCACCGCCTCGCCCAGTCCTGGGAAATGTCAAAACTCCTCCGCGCCGCCACCCAGCGCGGCGACCTCGCCCTCGCCATGGGCGACTTCAACATGCGACCCCTATCCCTCCCGCACCGCATCATCACGGCCCACGCACCAGTGCACGACGTCTGGCGCGTCCTCCACCCAGACTCGTCCCTCGGCGCCGCAGACGACCCCCTGGAAAAAGCCCGCGGCAGACCCGTTCCCTCGGCCGACTTCAACCTGCGCGAAAACGGCGCTACCTCGGACCACGTCTACAACACCTGGCGCTGGTCCAAGGAGCAGCAGAAAAAACTCGGCGAGGGGAAAGAACCCATCGTCGTACCACCAGACACGCCCGACAGAAAGGGGAAACGCCTGGACTACATCTTCTTCGGCTCCGGAGGAGGTGGCGGTGGTGACGATGACGATGGCAGCGGCAACTGGATCGTCCGCAGCGCCAAAGTCGGCATGGTCGAGCCGCATCCCACGCTCGGCTGCTCTCTAAGCGACCACTTCGCCGTCGAGGCAACGCTGGCATACCAGACGCCCCACCATCGCCACCAAGGCCTCGATGCAACGGGAAACGATAACGAGACGTCCTACCTCCAGGACGCCTCAGCCAGCTCCCACCGCGACTCCTTCACGTCCGAGAACCCTCCTGTTTCCGAAGTGCCAGGCAAAGGTCTTCCGGTACCAGTCTACGACGAGATCCTCTCCGTGACACGTCAGTACATCCACCGGGAAGAGAACCAACGGCGCTGGCGGGGATTCCACTTTTTTGCATGGTTTGCCGTCCTGATAGCGTGCCTTATAGCTGTGTGGTTCAGCCCACACAACTTTGTTGCCTTTGTTCTCATGCTCCTGAGCAGTCTCGGACTGGTTGCTGGTGTTGTTGACGGTCTCATGTCACTCCTCTTTTTCAACTCAGAACTCAGGGCCTTGAAGGAGTTTGAATGGGAGATCACAAACGCCAAAAGGCATGCGCGAGATTCTGTTTCAGGGGAGACGGTAAAGAGGGAAAAGTCTTTCTAAGAACCCGAATGACGGTGGTCCTGCCTAGCATAATAATACCCCAGACTCTAGGCTTAGTTGATGGTGCCTCCACAACATGTCACACGCGCCAGAGGAGGGGCTGATATGTAATGAAGAATAATGTCTATTCATACTCGACGTTGCTCTTTCCTTCTCATAATGGCGCAAGACACCTTGTACGTATGATCAGCTCATACTTCTATCAGTAGCTGCTTCAATTTTGCCCCTCTGCTCAAAGTCGCCTCGACTGACAACGCATGCCCCACGTCGATCAAGAATTTGTAGGGTAGACTGTTCCAACAGGCCTGCGACTGGCCATGTCTTTGCGTCGCCACGAATAACCTAGAAAAGCTGTTCGCTTCCTCATCTGAAGAACGTCCTCCTTGACCCAACGGTCCCGCAGCAGCTTGTCTCTTGGGCGCTTGCATTCTCTTCGTCCGACTCTTCTGACGTACCATTTGAGAAAGGCCTTTTCGACATCTTCCAGAAAGGCATGGTCGTCAATGTCGCGATCGAATCGTTTCAATTTGGATGAGTCATGGGGTTTGGAGATGAACTCAGTGGTCAGACACCTCACATCGTCTTCAAAGTCGTACTGTAGAAACCTAAGACGGAGATCGTCCAGGTTCTCCGACCCCTCCACTATCTCGGAATCCATTGAGTCAGACCAGTCGCTGATCGGCTCATCTTCTTCAAAGTAGTGAGAGTCAGCGTAGCTTTGAATATGTGGTATCCACTCTGGTCGACTGGAGCGTATTGCTTCCCAAGGAACGCCCCGAAACCACGGGTGGGCCTTGATCTCGGATGCGTCATTATTGAAAACGTATTGACTCGGTACACTCTTGTAGCCCTGAAGCTTCTCCCAACTTCGTCGAGCATCTTGGTTGCGATACTCGGGTGAAGAGAGACGGCTGTCCTTGTCCTGGAGCAGGTCCTTGATCAACTGCCGGCATACTCTCGAGACTGGAGGTCCATCAATAGGAAACACCAAGCTTTTCCGATAATCCTGCTCTCAAAATCAGAGAAATCTACAACGGGAGGTTCTGTCCAAACTTACGAGGATGTTCTGTTTGGTATAGTGACGACCCTTCTCCGAGAGAAACGGCGTGTGCCCATATAGGCACTCGTAAAGGATGATTCCGATACTCCACTAGTCGCATCTACCATCATACTTCTCTCCCATGACCACCTCTGGAGCCATATACTGGCTTGTGCCAACAATGGAGCGGGCCGAGGATCGGCGTGTCTCTGTTGTTCGCCAACCAAGCAGCTGGTCGACTTTTACAATCTCGTCTGCGTTTGTTTCGACGACATTGAACGGACATTCAAGCCCATCAAACTTGGTTCGGAGCAATTCTGACGGGGGATAGTGCTTGGACGACCCTTCTCGAGATGATCGTCGCCTCGTCCGTCCACCATCGCGGGCGGCTTTTTGATCCTCGCCATCACCGTCGAGCGTAACACCTGTTAGGGCCAGAATTGACTGTCGCTGCCACTTGTAGTAGGAGGTGTCATGGGACCAATGGTCGTCAAAAGCCAGCCCGAAATCCGAGATTTTCAGGTGACCGTCGGCCCCGATGAGGAAGTTGTCTGGTTTGACATCTCGGTGGATGCATCCAAGCCTATGGGCCTCTTCGACGCAAAGTATCATCTCGGCGATGTAGAATCGAGTTCTAGACTCGGTCAAGATGTTTTCGCGAATCAGAAGACCAAGAAAGTCTCCGCCCGGCATGTAGTCCATGAGGAGGTAAAGATTCACTGGATCCTGGAAACTGGATATCAGGGGCACCACCCTAGTCCCGATTAGCATGGGAGAACAGCGTTTCCCAGCACATCGAGGGGACTTTTCTCACCATTCTGAATTCTCAGAGGCCGCCAAGAAGTCTCTTTCCGCTCGTAAGTGACCTTCTTGGCAGCTTCGAATCATGTCAGACTTCCGAATGACCTTCATAGCAAATACCTGTCGTCGGCATCGGTCCCACACAAGCTTGACAACTCCGAAGCTCCCTTTTCCGAGGATTTGCAGGGTCTCGAGGTTTTCCAAGTCCGATCCTCGACTCACTTCAGCGTTAGACGTTGTTGACTATGCAACTCTGCAGCTGTGAGTTTTGGCGTTTCTTTGCTCGCGGAGGAAATTGGTCTCCATTGCAAAGAAGAGCCTCCAGTAATAGTCTCTCTCACTGGGGCCGAGGTGACCTCCATACTGATCGAGATTTCGTTGGTGCTCGGCGATACGTTGTTCACGTGGTGTGGGACGACTACTCAAAGCATTCTCGAAGTAGGTCTCCAGGTAAATTCTGGCGGCTGCTGCCTTTTCGACCGTGTGGACCCTTTGTTTATCAGAGAGTTGGTTCCAATCTAGTTGTCCCCAGGGTGTGTACTCGGACGCCGAAGAAAGCTCAAATTCCAAGTCAGGTGGCGGATTTGGGGCGGCTAGGCCAAGAGGGTGGTTTGTGACGGGCTGGGCAATTGGGTATCGCAGAGGGCGGGACTGTATTGCCTTGTGAGTGGGTTTCCCCCTTATGTCCATGAACCTGTGAATGAAGTTCCTGGTTCTGGTGGACCTAGCACTGCCCGAGGACTGTAGGTCTGCTTTGTGTGTTAGCTGGTGACTGTTGGCCTTGAAGTCAGTCTCTACCCACGTTGATGATGGCGGTATCTCCCCTTGAATAAATGGGTAAGTGGGGTCTCCTGAAGATGAGGACGGGGATTCCAAAGAGTGTGCTGTGCCTGGCCGTCAACTTCTGGACTGAGGTCTGTTGGGGGTGTGTGGTTGGCGTCTATGGCTGTTGCCGTGAGGGTCGGGTTTGAACGTGCGACGATGCTGCTGCGGAGAACTTGTTGATGCATGATGTTTACTAGTGATGGAGAAACTAATTGAAGAGGTAATGAGACCTGCTGGTATAGCGACTTATGATAAATGCGGGGTCCAAAAGAGAGGCGGACGAGCAGTCCGGCTGTGATGGTGTTTGGCCTGGTGGCATGTCGTCTGAGAAGATGTAGGCAGATTAGGAACGAGGATATGGATCGTTGTCCTCGGCCCAGGGTTGCATTGAGGGACTTGCCAAAAGCAGCTGGACCACCTCGGCCGTTTCAATTGATCTACAATGGGCAAGTGAGCTCCATCCAGGATAGTCACCGGCGAGGAGGCAGGTAAGTACGCTGTAGATTGAGCTTGCCCCAACATCTCAGGACGTCATTACAAGTTTCTGGGCACGATCGGTCGCCTAAGAGGAAGGCTCGCCGGGATATTCATGGTAAGAAGTAAGGAGACTTTGTTTTTCGTAAAGGAAACCGGAGCTAAGTACAGACCGACCGGAAGAAAACCATCCATGTCCGGTGAGAGAAATTTCCTACATCAACAGAAAACTCTTTTTGTGATACGCCAACTAATGCAGTGTAAGTCCTCGCCTCGTCATCCCATCAAACACATTCTGCTTCCCGCACCCCACGAGGGGACTGCGGATCTTCGCAGATAGCCACAGGTCGGAGACTATCCATTGCGGCAACGGCGCATATATCGCGACTCAGCGAATCCCATCGCCGTCACACATCATTACGAGGGAAGGTTGGCGTCTGGAACGCCGGGGCCCAGCAGGGGCTTGCCATCTTTCCATGGCGTGCTCACCGGGCAAAATAGGGTAGAATACAGTGAGAAGCATCCTGAATCGGCGTCTCGCCGCCAAAAGGGGGTCTTGCTAGTGAGGAAGCGACCTGTTTACTTGATCTCAAGGAGCTTAACGTCGAAGGTCAGGGTGCTCTTGGCAGGGATGCCGGGCAGGCTCTTGTTGCCGTAGGCGAGGTTGGCGGGGATGGTAAGACGACGCTCACCACCGATGGCCATGCCGATGACACCAATGTCCCAGCCCTTGATGACCTGGCCCTTGCCAGCCTTGAAGGTGAAAGGCTTGCCCTTCTTGTTGGCTAGAGATATGAGTTAGCGAGACACCCAGGAGAAACGAACATTTGAACTCAGCGCTTACCATCGAAGACCTTGCCGTCGTCGAGCTTGCCAATGTAGCGGACACTGACGCTGTCACCGTTCTTGACAGCGCGGCCGGTACCGGGCTTGCGGTCGTCAATGGTGACTCCCTGAACGACCTTGACGCCACCAGCGGGCTTGCCAGCCTGCTTGGCCTTCTCAGCGGAGCCGGTAGGGCCCTGCTCGAGGTTCTTGGCGAACTGAACCTTCTTGTCGGACTTGGGGGTGGTCTTCTCCTCGGCGGCGACGGCCTCACCCTTGTTGTTCTTGAGCTTCTTCTTGTCCTTCTTGGAGGTCTTGGTCTCGTCGTCGGCCTTGATCAGGTCGTCGAGGCTCTCGGCAGCGCGCTTCTTGCCCTTCTTGCTAGTCTCGACCAGCTTGGGGGCCTCCTCCTCGTCGGTGTCGACCTCCATGACACGCGGGTCCTCGGTGTCGTCAAGGTCGTCGCTGTCCTCATCGGGCATGCCGTACTCGAGCTCATCGGGGGACAGGTCGTACTCGTCGTCGTCCTCATCCTCGTCGGATCCCTCTTCCTCCTCATCGTCGATAACGTAGTTACCAGTGAGGTGGACGGTGTGGGTACCAGAAACGACGAAGAAGACCTTCTCACCCTCCTGGACGGTGATGTCAAGGGGCTGCTGGTAGTTCTGCGCGGTTGTTAGCAATCAAGATTTTCCCCTCCAGACTCGCACGGTCTATTCGCAACTTACGCGCTCGGTGTCGAGAGTGCAGATGACAAAGTTCTCAAGGTCAAGGCCCTCCTCGTCGTCATCGCTCTCCTCGTCATCCTCCTCATCATCGTCAGAGGCCTTGCCCTTGCCCTTCTTGCTGGACTTTCCGTTGGGCTTGGCATCATCCATCTCCTCGTCAGACTCCTCCTCGCCGACGGCCTCGATCAGCTTCTTAAGGGCCTCAGCCTGCTTCTGCTTCTTGGACTTGGAGGGGTCGCTGGGGCCTCCGTTGGGCTCATCATCGTCATCGGACGACTCGTCGTCGTCGCCGTTGGCGTCAATGAGAGACTGGAGGTAGTCCTCATCGATCTCCTCATCCTCGCCGGCCTCGAGGTCGTCACCGAAGCGCTGCTTGACGAGGCGAAGGGTAGAACGGGGGACAGCAGGAATGTTGCCGTCAGCATCGGCCTCGGGAGCCTCAGAGGGATCAATGGCGGCCATGGTGATGCGGAACTGGGAAATCCCAAGGTTAGTTAACTGTGAATAAGCAGGAGTGCGCCGGCGCCCAGCGCAAGTTGCGAGCTGGCCGGAGCTTGCGCTCAAGTGCCTACAGGCAAGGAAACAGGGCAGAGAGATGCACATACAGTGGCAGGGAAGTCGGGGTTGGCGGGGATGAGGATCTCGCCGGCAGGGACCTCGAGCCCGTAGAGAGCGACAGGAAGCTGGGCCATTGTGCTGATTGTGAAGGTGGTATGTGAATGAGACTAGTAAAAGTTGGTGCTTTTGCACTTGATAATTGCTCTTCAAGGAGGTCGAAAAACAAAGACCGTTCGTTCTTGAAGGGATTATTTGGGGGTATGGGAAGACTAGGAAGAGGAAGAAGATGGGGTGGGATTCGAGTGTGAGAGGGAGGTTGTACAGAAAAGTCGAGGTTCTCGAAGAGCTTTTGCCTGAAATTTTTTTCCACTCGACGACCAGACCAGACGGAACTTTTTTTTTCTTTTCTTTTTTTTTTTTCTTGGTCTCGACCCCACCGCTGGCGGCGCTAGTGCTGCCTTATCCTGTCTTATCGGCCTTATCGCACCATGGCAACCAAGGCGCAACGGCAGGGAAGGTGCGTCTGGGGAAGGAGCTGCATTGGACCCTTGCCCCAAAATGCCCCAAAATGCCCCAAAAATCCCCAAAACGACGTCTTCACCGGCGCTCTTGTGGACGGTGAGGACCCTCCACTCGTACACCGCTTTCTGCCTGGACTCGGTGCTGATGCTGTTGACGAAGTCTGTGCTGCCTTTGAGGTCCTTCGAGGTGCCTTTGTTGCGCCATCAAGGATCACTCATCCTCACTGCATGCCATATTCTGATGAGATCTTGATGGCAAGTTGGCCAAAGGGTCTTCGATCATGCCGTTGGGCAAATCCGACATCTCGTCATTTTACGGACATATACAGATGATATCTCTCTTGCATATCCTCTAGATAGAACAGCTTCTATCATCAAGGTAACTACCTAGGATCTACCTTGAGAACTGCAAGGTCCCCATCCGTCTCCTGACCTCTCTCTTATTCTGATATTCATCGTTGGTCATCTTCGACTATCTACCTCGACTTCACAAACCAAGCCTTGACGAGCTGCCACACAAACCCCAAAGCGAACCTCGTCTGCCCCTGCTCATACATCTGGCCCCTCTCACCGACTTCCGCCATCTTGCACGCAATCTCGACAATCGGCCCCGGAAACAGGCGCCTCTCGCTGCTCCGAGCGTACGCCGCCACCAGATCGTTCCCATTCGTGATACCACCTGTGAATATGCAACAATAACTTAGTCAAACAGACATAAAGAGTGAAAAGAGAGGAGACAGAAAGACTTACCACAGCTCCAGAAATTGCCATCCCGGCACCATCGAAACTCATCCCCCACAAACCTCGCCCCCGGAAACCTCTTCTTCAAAACATCCTGCAGACCCCTCGGTCCGCATACCCTCCTCCCCTCCAAAATCCCCGCGGCACCGCACAAGAACGCACCCGTACAGACACTCAGCACGTCCGTCCTCTTTCCTTTTCCTCCCTCCCCCTCCTCCTCATCAGCATGTCCCCTCAAAAACTTCAGCGTCTCCTCATCCCAGCTCGCCGCCGGATCCGGTCCGGGGACGAGCAGGATATCCAGCGTGCCCGGCTGGACCTCCGGGCTGGAGACGTCGTGCGTCGGCCGGATCTTGACGCCCGCCGTCAAGGGGAGCAGAGGAGGAACGAGGTGTCCTGCTGACTCCGGGGCCGGGTTGTCCGAGCTAGAGCTAGAGCTAGTGCTGGGGCTGGCCTTTGCAGAAATGTAATAGATTTCCACGCTTGGCGCCAAGTTCGGGATATGTTTGGGTATCATGGGCAGACCGCCCAGGTACTCTCTCGACATCATAAACAAGACGTCTACGCAGGCCATGTCGAGGAGCTGACACTCGGACGGCATAAAGACCCCAATCTTGACCATTTCGGTACTGGTGTTTGCCATTTTGTGTATTGTTCCTTTTTCCTCTTCTTTGAGTTTTGTCGTGAGATGCTACAAGGTGGATTGAAGCAATACCTGGATAGGGCACTGGATTCCAACAATATGTTTAATGTGTCCTAGCATGGCTACCTCGGCATCATCGTCAAGGTATCAAACCCCATCCATCTTTATACTCGAGCCAAACAGCCTATCGACCGTCCGTCCTCCGCATGCTGCCGTCCTTTACTTCGCGGTCCGGAAGCCCATCGGTATAGCCAAAGTGTTCCGTACACAACAACCAAGCAGAAAGACACTGGGCATCCGGTGGCTGACATCCATGGGAGCTGATTGGGTGTCATATCTTAACTTCCGAGAGGCTTCGGGGTTCTAGCGGCTTGTCCTCGGCGGTGTTGGTCCGTCTGACGGATGACCGACCACTGTAAGCTGTTTGGAACGGCTTCCTGTCCTTGGCTACGTTCGTTCGAAATTCTCTCCTTCATCATGATCAATCCCATTGCATCTGCTAACGAGGGAGCTTTGCCCGGGTGGTTTCCTCTAGAAAAACGTGAGGTTGCATCATATTCATGCCTACCTTGCTCGCCATGATCAAATCAAAACCGCAAGGAACCCAAACTAAGTCACATAGAATTGCTCGCAAATAATGTATAATTCACATCAATTTTATCGTGGCAACGTTCTTCCTGTTAACCACGCCGTCCAATCCACGTCTTAGCGTCAATTGCCATGATCATGAATCGTTCTATGTACACACAAGATTAAATATTATAGGACTCGTCCAAATTAATGGGCTCCGGGATTCTGTCGTGTCGGCCTCCCGTCTTGCTCTTTTGGAGCCCATTGTCAGCTGTTCCTGCTGGGCTTGTCCCGTCCCCAGCGGATGCAGTCATCTTTCGTCACCATCCCGGCATCTTCCTGCCGCTGGTGGGTGAGCCTCGTCATGCTGGCCTGGATATGTCCGACCCCATCGTTTCCACTTCGTCTTCCGTATAAGCGAATGCACTTGGACGGCTCTCTCGCTCGTCAAGTTCCTGCGTATTGCTCCGAGAACTCCGGTTTGAGGCCCCATGAATCCCCGAAATCTCTAGAATGCCGATACCATGCCATGCCATGCATATCAAGAATGCCCTCATCTATTTACACGTGAGGCTCTTGGGAGCCCCAACTTCTTCAAACACGTAATCGAGTTAAAAACCGCCGCTTGGTGGGTCTTCCTGGAATTGGGCTGTGCGTCGAATTGAAGAAAAAATAATGTGAGCCATCGACGCCTCCGCGGGGAGGGCGAGGTCCTGTCGAAGAGTAGATAAAAGTTAACACAGAAGAAAATGATTGTCGTTACGCGATTTCGGCTGCCGTGAGGGATTTCGCTCTTTGCCGGGTAACCTTTTTGCTGACGGAGTAGACCAAGTCTAGCGTCCAGAAATGGCACAGCTGTGCCTGGGCGCAAGGAATGGCACCATAGAGAGGGGCAACGAGCGGAACCATTGCGTAGTCAATGAAGTTCTTCTTGACGTTGCGGTAAGAGAAGTTCATGCCCTCAGACAGACCAGCCTCGGTCATCTCACGTTGGCGGGACTTGACGCAGATGCGGTGGAAGCTCTCATACAAGAAGAGGTAGAGCGCAATTTCCATGAAGCCAAAAGTACGCAGAATGTTGCAAACGTCGAAGATCCAGCTGAGGTGAGCGACTTCCTTATTGCCCTCCGTGACCCACACGTACAGAGTGGATGAAATTACGAAGATGGTCATCTGAAGGGGAAGGAAGTGCGCCTCGAAGAGACGGTGGAACAGGTAGACGATGCGTTCCCAGTTAGGAGACTGCAGTGTATCGTGGGTGACGTCGGAGAAAACACCGCTCTCTCTGGGCTGTTCGGGATCCTGTTGGTCCAGCTGCGTCTCGGGGACGTAGACGTCGGAGGCGTCGCCCATGGAGTTGTGAAGCGGACGGAAAGCGCGGGAGGTGTGCTTCCTTTCCTGCCAGAGTTCGACAACCTTTCGGAGCGCATATCCGGAATCGAGAGCACCCCACATATGTCTCATTGCCTGCTTGTAACGAGCCTGCATGTCCGAGTAGATACCGCGGAGACCCTTGGAGCCATCGCCGCAGACGTTGCTCTGACTGACGGGGCTGACGACGGTCCTGACGGTCAAGTTGCCGTTGAGAGCGAAGAAGCACTTGAGGTACATATGCAAATCTTCTCCGATGGCCTCGTTGTCGCAGTCCCAGCCGCCGACGCGGTCAACAAGTTCCAAGGGCACGGAGTAGACGGAGGTGGGAGGCGCAATCGTAGATCCGGAGTACAGTCCCGACATACCACCAGCACCCCAAAGGATGTCGGCAACACGGACAATGGCGGGAACACTGTGGGCGTTGCGGTCGAAGATGATTGGAGCCGCGTACATGGTGGTCTTTGCTGTTTCGGGATAGGCCAGGTGCATGGTAGTCAGCAAAGCGAAGAAGTTGGATGAGAGATGGCTGTCGGCTGTACACCCCACGTTTCTGTCAGCGAATCATCCTACATGCGCAAAAATTGGAAACATTGACTGCGGCAGATTCTCAGAATCTGACATGCGCACGTACCGTCAAGACCCGTAATGATCACATCCTTGCGGGTAGTCATTGAATATTTTTGGCTCAATTTGCGGGCAGCCCATGCCACGTTGCTTCCCTTGCCAGCAGATTCGCCTGGGATGTCGGACGGATGAATGGTGTAATCGATGCTGCGGAACTTCTTGACGAACTCCTGAATGAGGGTCATGGCCTTGAGCTCGACGTTGGGCTCGCGTTGTTCCATTCCCAAGTAGACCTAGTATGCAAGTGTCAGTTTTTGTACGCGTATCAATCGACAACGACAATATTCGCCAGATCAGTGATCATTGACCACCAGGGCAACTGTGTGGCCAAAAGGGGGTCCAAATGTACTCACATCGTAGCAGCTGCGAGCTTGAGGGTGCGAAGCCAGCACCTCGAGAGTCTCCTTCAGGGTATCCATCTCCTCCTTGTAGTTGGGGACAATAATAGCGTGGATGACGCGATCGGGTTCAGCATCACCGTCGGTGTAGAGTTCGGGCTCCATGTCGCCAGCTTCGCTGCTAGACGCAGAACCACCGTGGGAGGACGTAAGGGTCTCCGAGCTGGACAAGGAGGTTGAGGAACCACGGCGACGGTGGGAGAGTCTGTAGTCTCTGAGAGTCCTGTTGCGAGCAATCTTCTTCAGCTGGCGGGTCATGTCAAAGACAGCCCAGCAGCATCGGAGAGGAAAAGCGAAGACGAGGATGTGGATAAACAAGCAGTAGTAGGCGTAGATTTCGGTCCAAATGCCAGCGCCCTTGGTGGTCGAAGTCGAAGAGCTAAGGCTATCCTCGTGCAAATAGTTGTGTGCAGAAGCAGCTGATTCCTTTGAGATAACCCAGTAACTCAGGCCCAACAAGCCCAGCATGGCCAAGCCGCCGACGCGGCGCGAGGCCCAGGCCAAAATCGATGACATGGTGACGACCGAGGATGTTGCTTCGGTGAGGCGCGTTGCCAGCGATGGAAAGGTCGACGATAAGGCGACAGCTCAGCAAGGTCGACGACGGAAGGCGAGGTTGTCTGTCTGTCGAGGCAAGCAGCCGATAAGAGGCTTGGAGAAATGTGCGAAGCCTGACTGGGGGGGTGGAAGTTTGCTCGAGGGAGAGCGAGACCAGCGACTGTAGACAGCAAGTGGGAGAGGGAGAGAGGAATGGAGAGGGAAGTAGGGCGGAGGAGGAGAATCAGGAAACCTCTGGGCCGAAATTGCGAATGGCACGCGTAGAATTGGAGCCCTACCGGTCGAGGTCGATGGTGGTCTCTCGCGCTCTCTCACTCTGTCTCTTGAAGAGGGTTGAGTGTGGGTGAGGAGGAAAGCAGGTGACAGACAGGAGGAAGGGGGGGAGGGGGGAGAGAAGGAGTGAAAAAGGGAGAGACTGGGAAGAATTAGAGTGCGTCTTGTCGGATGATATTCACGAGGAGAATAGCGACTAATGGATACGGGGCAGACTGAGGAAGAGAGAAGGAGGGAAGAAGTGCAAGGTAGTGAGAGTGGATGATTTCTTGGATAGGGACCTGGGCATGGAGGAGGAGCAGGAGCAGGAGCCAGGAGGTAGTAGGTAGGTGGACACGGGTACAGTAAGGTCGGGTCGGGTCTGCTAAGCTAAGGTAAGGTGCGGTACCTTAAGGTCCAGTCCAGTCCACCTCAGTGTTCCGCGGGTGGTACACTACAGACAGGTAATATTGTAAGGCAGGCCTGGTACGCAGTGAGGTAGACCATAGACGGTAGACGAGGGGGGGCGGCAGAGAAAGGGGGCGCGCTGATTTCTCTGAGGTGAGGTGCGGCGCGCCTTGCTCTGGACTCTCACCTCTGTATACGTACGGAGTATTCGTACCAGCCCTCTTCCCCTTTCACACGCGCACCTCAGAGCTTGTTTGCGTTGGACCAGACCAGACTGGTTCCAGATGGGACGTGGGGAGTGAAAAGGGTCACTTGTACAGAGTACTTGTGTCGGCCCAGCGCCACAGCCTGGCTTGGGCGTGGAGGACCCGCTCCCAGATGTACGGATACCAATATTCTCTGCCGCCAAACTTTGTCTGTTTTATTTCCATTCTCACCAAAACAACCAACGGCACCCCAAGTATGAAGACGGCCCCAATACAGTGACGCTGGGGTTCGACCGCCCCAGACAGATATCTACAATACCTGCTGAGGCATACTATGGAAGGGAGGTATAAAGGAGGTGCTCGCCGCCTGCAAGATGAGGTAGGAAGACGTGCAGCTTGCAAAATCGTTGAAATGGGGAGTGGAAGCCTCTGGATTGGCGAGACGACGAGCTGGGGGTCTCCTAGCACCGGTGATGGCAGCCGTAACAGACCGGGGGGTTACTAAGGCACCTTGATCCGGAGAACTGCAGCAGATTGAGGTGGTGAAGAGGCGAGGCAGGCCGCAGGCCGCAGGTCACAGAGAGCAATGAAAGAAAAAAAAGAGAAAGAAGCAAGAAACAGAGCGAGGGTCGAGATGGTTCCAGTGTGCTAGAAGCCAGACTAGACCAATCTTGGACGTGATCTTGAATCATGATTGGCTCATGAGAAAGAAGGATCGCCTCTGATTGGCCTGGGCGGCCAGGGCCTTGGGGTATGCCGTGCTGAGGCTAGCGCATCTCGCCCGCTCGCATCGCATCTAGTGGGCTGCCTCTGCGCCTGCCTCACTCCCATCCTCCGCCTCGATAATTGCTTTAGCGCGAAAAGGGACGTGGGCCCATGAGAGCTCGCAGGGGTGGCACGGATACACGGACAAGGTCTGGTTGCCTTGGGAATTTTCTGCGCTTGTACTGAATCGCCCCGCGGGAAATGAGAAGGAAGAAATTACCGAGTAAGCGGTCAATCGCGAGCACTGTGTACGGCCGGGATGTATAGTTGAGGTTGTCTTTTCTCTCTCTCTTTTTTTTCCTTCCGTCGTGTTGATGATGACCAATCGATATCGAACTACGGAGTTAGCCAACGGAGTAGCGTTCGTTGATTTCGCTTTGTGACAGCTTCTCGTGCCGATAGTGATAACGATTGAAAGGAAAGCACCGCCATGCCATGCCATTTGCTTGTCAACGTTATAGTAACTTGGGCCAAGGAAGTCTCATATTCTGCGAGGCTTGGCCAATATTCCAAGCATGAGCGGAGCCAATATTCGTCAACAACTCATTCTAGAGTCTAGTATAGGCAGTCGAATTGCAGAGCGTGGGAACCCCTTCAGATAGATTGACTGAGCCGGGCAGCTTGTTGTGATGATGAAAGTGTGATCATGTGCGACGCTGCGTCATGATCGAGTGCGAGCCGGTAATGCTAGACAGGAGCTTGTCGGGCACTGCACAGCCGCACTTGGCGAGTGGCTTCACTCAAGCTCGATTCGAACCTTCTTTATCCTGTGTCATCTCTTGCTTATACATTTGGTGCTTCAGCCTTGGTTGACATGATATTCCTCGTGACTCCAGCCTCAATACCAAGAGTTCTCTCAGACCACGGACGTAGGTACAGATAAGGTGATAAGTATCTCCCTGCGAGTTTTTACTCTCTACACAGTAGATCATTCTGAGTATCACATAGCTTCCTGTGAGAGAGAAAAATCAGCAAGAGCCAACAGTCGCACCTTTTACGATGACTGGGACGTAATTTCACAAGATCCCCGCACAGTATGCGCTTCTCATGCAGCGATGCCAAGTTCATAGGCCAAAGACTGCCTGCTGCCTGTGCCTTTTTCGACGCTAGGGACGCTAGAGACGCCAAGGTGCCGTGGGGTCGCTCCTCCCGCTCTGACGGGCTGGCTCGCCCAAACGGGATATTTGAAAAGTACCTCCCCACCAACAATTTTCAAGTGCTCGATCCGGGGGCGTCACAGTGCAGTGAAAGGTCCACCTTGTGCTGCCTTTTTACCGCCAGCTCTCCACCTCACCGAGCAAGCGTGCGGCAGGCAGGGGACCCGTGGACCTGTGACAGGTACGTACTGCGTACATACAGCCAACAATACTGCGGATGGTTACTCCGTACGGATACAAAGTCCAAGGCAACTCGACATCCGGTGCTGGATCCCGCGGACATAGTACGGCGCTCCCGCGATGACAGAGCTGGAGGGCACCACGGCACGCAGGCGGCAGGAGTAATAACTCATCAACAATGGAGACTGGAGCCGGACCCGGACCTCCTGAATCCCCATTCCATTCAAGCCCTGCAAAAACATACAAACAAAGGAGGTCCAGAGCTCAACAGCCCATAATTGTTTCTGGATTCTCATTCAGGCCAGTCTCGGTGGTGGCTCTGGTGGATGCTCAAGATGGAAAAGGCGTAGAATCCGGCCGGGAATAATCGTCAATGCAATCGACAAGCAAGTACTCCGTATTGTGTACGAATGCTTTGGCTTCTGTGGACTCGTGGAGGGGGATTCCTTTTGTACCAGGTTGTGAAGCTTAGCCATCCTTAGTGGAAAGTCGCTCAGGGGGCGGTGTACAGAGTACGGATTCAGATTACTGTGTAGTAAGCAGTCGAAGCTTAACCTCACAACCGAACGTGGGGCTTTCTTTACCTTATTGTTCAAGGCGGTACTTCAAAGGTAAGTTCTCATGCCTTCTTCCTTCCTTGCAGTCGTAAGGCGCCTGCTTAGTCGACAAGGTGTCATAGGGTAGAGGCTAAGGCACCTTCCCTTACCTCAAGCAGGCCCGGTCTAAATGATAATACCTGAGGCGGATGATAAGTGAGGCAGCTTCCGCTGGTTCCTTTTTGTTTGATGATTGCACCTCGGCTGCTTCGACTTCATCGATCTCTAATGACGTGCCTTGATCTTTGTACTAGCTTGCCTACTTTGTCAGTCCAACAAGTCAACTTCTTCCGAGGATTGTTCCCGTCAATTTGCTGCCACCAGCTAGGCAGTTCGACATGTATCCTACTTGTGCGACGCGACAGCTGGTCTGTATATGTTTCCATGGCATTAAGTTCTTATCAGCTGTCAGCTGTGAAAAGCATGCGATGACCACCAAGCCACGACTATGCTCTCGAGCACTTGGGTTCCCATCACAAGCTCAAGACCAATACGACTCTAGCTACCCGGGAGCTCAAGATAGTCCATAATATCATCAAACACCCAAAGCTCGACACCGCTAGTCCTTTCTCGATTTAACCAACAACAACACCTATCGTTCCTACGATTCGACCGCGCGTTGACCATCCGGCCAAGGGAACATGTCGAGTTATCTTGGAAGCAGTCAACCCTGCCACTATCCGCGTTTGCCAGGCCAGCGAGGATGAGCAGCCATGCGCCATGGATACCGCCTCTTGTGCCACAGTGTCACGGGACAAAGACGGTATCCAGGGCCACCGCCGCCGCCGCTGGACCTATGCTATGCTTGCGTGCGAGGACGAATCGAAACACACGGCGGGCAGATGCTGCTGGCGGTACCACGCTATCGCAGTCTCACAGACAATGCTTCAGGTCTGGGAGATTTACCTACCACTGCGGCGCTGCAGGACGCTTCTAGCTGCCGGGACCACATGCAAAGTGGTACGTAGGCACGCCAAGCGGAGCAAATCGTGGCTCAGTCTGGGAGCGCGCACACCTTTTTACACGTCGCGACACCGTCTAATGAGCTACAGTCTCGCAGTCTCGTAGTGGCCATTGGTTCGTTCGGGGGTGCTTCCCCAACCCCAGCTCTCACAAGCGGCGCTGCAGCTTGAGCTGTCGACAGACGGCGGGTCGAAGGAGGGGGTCCCTTCCAGCGTGGCAGCTGTGGCTGCCGTCGTCATCCATCACAGCTTTGCTGCGGCATCGTCGTCATAGGGCGAGAAGATGCGACCCTAAAGAAACGAGGTCATGGGTAGCTAGACGACGAACGATAACGATGACCAGCGAAACGCGCCTACACAGGCGAAATTGGTCACGGCATGGGCAACGGGACGGCAAGGCAGCATGCCTGCCAAATGTCATCTCATGGCATGCATTTTTCGACCAGACCTGTCGCACGCTTTTCGCCTTCCAGGGTTCGCATCGATGATTACACTCTGGTAGACTAGCCTGCGGTCGAGGCCCCGCGAACGATATTCTTAGTCGTCCCACCATCGCCAAACTTACACTTGGTGTCATCCTGCGCTGAATCTGACGCTGTCCAGTCAGTCCAATCCAGTCACAGTGCGGCCTTCCTGCTCACTCACCGTCGGACTGGAGAGCCGACGTGGGATCTCGTGGCGTGCTGGGATACCGTTGCTGCGAAGTGATGGGATGCTGAGACATGGCCGTTTCCTCTTCACTTAGCCTCTACGGCTCCTCTTGCTCTCTGCCTGACCCCTTTCCAGAGTCGCAATGGCCAAGGAGATCGAAAAAAAATTTGAAGTCCAAATCAGCAGATGAAAACCAGGCCTAGGTGCTCTGGCCAGGTCTCTACCAGGGCCCCAGGGTTGCAAAACTGCAAACGTGCCTGTCAAGATTCAGCAGTGACGGGTCACGGCAGCCGGGGCGGGAAATTTCGACCTGCATCCCGTTGACTTGGATGCCCTGGTCACACTGTCCGATATCGACATGTGCCCGACAAGTGCATATCACCAACAATCCATCTCACCAGCCAGTCCAGTCTCAACCACGCTCAGACACCCGGGCGGTTGGCCTTGGTCAATGCAGGTTCGGCGTGGCCTCGCGAGCCGCATCAACATCATCAAATCAACGCCGTTAGCTTCTAGCGCATTTCATCAGCCCCGTGCTCACCGCATCCAAGCCATCTTGAGATGCTCGTGCTATCAATGGCATCTATTCATGGCCTGGCTGGTCTAGTGCTTTCTATAGACGCCTGAGACGGCATGGCAGTGAAGTAGCAAAGAGACCTGAGATCAAACCCGCAATCTGCATATAGCAGGTAGGGCAGGCCACAGACAAGTCTTCGCATACTTTGTTCGTACAGAACACGAGAATACCAACTTCGACAGAGGGGTCATCTTTGGAGGCGGGTGGCGTCGAATGGGCTGCCATCCTTGTACGGATAGCTGACGGTGCTTATTCCTCCCGGACAGATTCAGGCCGCGATATGTCTGAAAGAAAGGATACCGCGGGCTCTTCGTCCGCTTCAGGCTAATTCTTGTATTGTTCGCTCGTAGAGTTGCCCCAGCCACACTCCGCAATTACTCAATCACAAGCGAGAACTTGCTTCTTCCGTAATGGATAAGGCGAGCATGCTGGTCCGAGGATTGTCGGATATGAGCTTTTGGTCACAATACGATGAGGAAGGCCATGTCCATCGATTGCTTCGTAATTCACGCAAATGTCGGGCGTAATTGCTCCCTCAGCTTAACTCCGATCTTGGCAGAATCGTTGCACTCGCGACATCTAGAGACTCGACCACCTATTCAGAAGCCAACGCAAGCAACGGGAGGTTATCCGTATTCCGCGAACCTCCACCGTAGGAGTCAGCAATGAGCATTGGAGATACATACGTAGTACGTATTCGGATGCCAACTAATATGATGAAGAAAGTCAGCAACACGTAAAGACCGAGGAAGGCGTATTGCAGGTGCCAGGAGCACCTATAGGGGGGTTGCCGGATGGTGGGGTGGGCGAGCACTTGGCGGGCCGGCGTTTGAGATTGAACGTTTCTGATGCTCCGAATCTGACTGGCCGACTGGACCAGTACCTTGCAAGGCAAGACATGGAGTTCCAGGTCTCCTCGCCAGCCGACCGCGTTCAGAGGTAAATGGTTCGGCTACGGCCACCAATGTGGCCAGTCTTTGGGCTTTCCTGGGGGAATCGGAGCGCCTCCTCGAACACCATCTCACCTCGATACTCGCCGTTGAACCCCATCAACGCCGGTCGCAACCTAGCTTATTGTCATTGCGGAACCTGCGTCGACCCGCACTCGCGGATCGCCATACCGGTGGCATGCCGCATAACCACCAGATGCAGATATCAACGGCGAGATTGTCGGAAAAGAGGAGGTGTTGGAGAAGCGGAGACAACCAAGGGAACGTAGTCACGAACCATACCTTGCATCCACCAATCGACGATTCGACTCCGTCGCCGCCCGGTTACTTGGCAGGCCTTGGCTTAGTCCGTCACCCATCATGATGAACGACTATGTGCGATTTGCGAGGTCACTGAGCCTTGCATCCATGAGCAGGAAGGAGTTGAATTTTAGGTTGAGAACATCCATCGGAGAACATCCATCGTGGCACAAGAGCCCCCGTCTCCCAGCTAAAGTCAAGGCATCGATGCGTGTCCGGTGCGGCTGAAGCATCCGATGTCTTGATGATGAGCTAGAACTCAGCGTGCGATGGCTCCCGCAAGCCTCAGACCGAATTGGTACAATTGTTGTTCCTCTCGGAAATCTACGTCTGCAAAGTACCCAACCCACGCATAGCGGACGGTTTACCCTTGAGACACCAAATCCATGGACCAATGTGGCACTCAGACTCGTCCGGTCACAAGTGGCATGTCTCAACATGTTGCGATTCAGAAGTTCGCCCCATCATATCCGTCTGCGTACGCATCTGCCCGTTTACCACCGGGGCCGTCTTGTCGGCCGACGGGGTCCTGTTCTGCTCCAATGCGGGAAACAACTTTGAAACAAGCCCTGCGAGACAGTCGAGATGGGCATACTTTTTCTTGCATAGCACAGGATGAAGCTTGCAGGACAGCGTGCGTGGCCTCAAGAAAGCAAGAACGGTTGATGGGGTGTTAGGGGACCATTATGCCGGACTTGATTCCTGCAGCGACTTGCCGTTCATGTTCCTCGAGGCTTCTCGAAGCATACGGTCGCGAATGACAGAGACGAGGCAATATGCGATCCGCGCAGCCAGCGCAATTCTCGACGACGAAGACCTCACGGCCTACTTGCACCCTTCCTTTGCCAACACGACCTGCTTCTGGCCAATTGTTCCAGTCACGTATGAAACGACTTGCCTCAGATGTTGAAAGCCAAAGAACAAAAATAACTCACCGCCCAAAGTCTTCCATCCCCGATGACCCCGACAGCCGGACGGATCAACCAACCAGTCACCTTGCGGGACTGACATGTCGCATCATCGGATCCGAGGTGAGACCTACGGCTGCCCTGTGCATTGCTTCCCCAGCCAACGCGTCACTTGTGCTTCGGCCGGGCGGGCTTCGCTGGCCGTCCGGGCTTATGCCGAGTCGGAATTTCCTTGGCAGCCGGCGCGGGTGACGACAGCATCCCGTTCAACAGCCGTTCCCTCGACTTTCCCCGGGCAGACCCACCCCCAGAGCATTTCACACGTCCCGACGTCAAACACGGCTCACTTGTCTTTTGAACGAAATATGTTTCGACCTGTATAATATTGATTATTGAGCTGACGACGCCAATCGTCTGCGATGACGTCGTGGTTCTCGGCGGGCTATGAAGGTGTGAGGCGAGCCTTTCCTCGGCCTTGTGGTCTTTTATCGGACCCCGTCTGTGATGTTCACTCCTCTTTGCAATCCCATCGGCAGCCCTTTGGAGGCGCAGCGCGCTATTACGCTGCGCTGTCAGCAACAGAGCCACCCCAGGCCCAACTTTGACATGTTCAACGGTGCCCGCGGGTGCGTGTCACCGTAATATACCCTTTGAGCTTAGATGCCGTCCTTCCGTAGCCCCACCCTCGCAGGCATGCTCGCGGCTTTCGAGAAAAGTCCTCATCCGTAGACTCCGAGTTCAGCCTTGAGAAGGATACTAGGGCATCGCAACGCCTAGTAGACTGATTCCCCCGCAGATGCTCGTGTTCAGAATTCTCGCTGGGCCATCTTGTTTCTGCGGCATCCCCAGCTGAAGTGCCGAGCCACGAAGCTGGGTCAGAGGCTCTCGCAGAGCAGTGGGGTACACGATCTATTGATACCGAAGCATCTTCTGCTAGACACTTCGTGCAGCAGCCGAAAGATCGAGCTCGTCCAACGGGGAAGTACGTTCCATCTGCCGCTTTCATACAACCTTTTCGAAGAGCTCCTGGATGGGTTTCGCAGCCTACACCAGCGGAGGTTAGGCAATTGATGCGCAGGACAAGTTTTGCGCAAAACAGGAAGAATCGCGTTTTTAGAACTCACATCAATGAACTTCTCCAAATCTTTATCGAGGTTGGCCAGATCGTCCTTGCGCTTCTTGTTCTCGGCAATGAGCTTCTGCTTCCTGCCCACCAACTCGAGCCTCTGCTGCTCGAGAGCTTCACGTCCCACTCGCTCGTGGCCGATGCGTGCAATCATCAAGGCGTCCTCGTCGGCGTCGGCGTGCTCTGGTTGCTCGGCGAGGAATTCTTCGACGGGGATGAGAGGTAGCTTCTGGTAGGTGTGGCTGGAAAGTCACAAGATGTTAGCTATACATGAACGCTTGCCGGCGGCCGTATAGAAAGAGAAGATGAAAAGGCCTCCCCCGACTTACTCGTAAGATTCGCAGGCCTCAATCTCGCCCTCGAGATGGCGCTGCTCGTAGTAGAGGTTCTGCAGCTGGAGGTGCAGGCGGTCGACCTCGTGGCGCGCCTCGGCGGTCTGGGCTTTTGTGTCCCTGGCGTCGAAGTTGGCAGAGCGGTGCAGGCCGCGGAGGTGCGAGATGTTTGTGAGGAGGAGTTTCTGTTCCTTTGACAGGGCGGCTTGGAGCTCTGGTGATGAAGAAGCTGATCCTGACTCTTCGGCCGCCGCGCGGGTGATTTCGGTGAGGAGGTGGAGGAGCTTGGCGGCTTGGTCTTGGGCGTAGCCTGAGGTCTGGAGGACCGCGCCGAGTTTCTTGTCTGATACGAGCTCGTTGACTACCATTGTTGCGGTTTCTTGTGTTTTTGTTCGTGGGGGCTGTGAAGAAGTTGACGATGAGGATTGGCAGGGTATGGTCACAGCTGTGTCGGTCTCGATTTGAATTTCGTTGATGGATTCGCTGGAGCTGATTTGTTTGATCGCCGTTTTCCGAAGAAAGAATTGTTCGTGAAAGCCTCGGGGCGAAGTTGGGATCGCGACGTCTCTCTTGTCGCGTGCGTGCGCAAGGCTGAAGGAGGGCGAGGTAAGGTGGTCCGGCGCGATCTGACGAATGGGGTGGATTGGGCGGTTTTGCACTTTTTGCGCAAACAGACGGGTGCGGTGGAAAGTCTGGGTACGACGCCTCAGCCGTGGCGTGGTGGTTGGATCTAGTCTGCTTCCGATGCTTTTGTTAATATTCCCATAGCTCACCACCACCGTACCGTGGCGGACGTTGGAAAATCAGTGCAGCCGCACCGCAGGGACCGTGCTTTCGGTAGCAGTTCCCAGCTCCCGTGGTCCCGTCTCACCACCACCTCCAAGATTCTAAGAACCTGGACAGGAACACAATCTGCACTACAATCTACAGACCGCCATGAGCGGCGTTCTGCTTGGTTCTCGCGACTGTGGACCAATTCATGCTCCGGCGGATCTCATGGTTAGGAAGACACGACTTGGCCGTAGGTGAGATAAGGTAGGGAATGCACCGCACTGGTGAAGCACATGCTGGGCCGCAGCAAGTGATACCATAATACAGAGCTTACAGGGTAGAACATTACCGTACATACATCTTCAGGCACGCCATGGGGAAACTAGTCGGAAGCCTTATCGGATAGTGCCTTTGGAACTAAGCAGCTAAGGTACCTTGAGGATAGTCATGGACAACAACGAGAGTCTAAGACATTGGATGTGGTCTTGGGGTTGTCCATCACAAGGCACGCTAGGGCGGGAATTTCCCCAATGTCGAGCGTCATCTCCCAAGCCTTTGGTTTGCCGTGCTGTCCGGCAGACTAAGGTACGCATCATAAGCGGGAAGATCCGAATGGGAGTGGTAAGAGAGACAAGTGGTTCCAGCGATTGTGAAGCTATTGCCTGAGATGGAGCTCGGGGCTCCGTCATTGTTGATTCCTGCCATATTGGAAACACCCGACACCTGACGGGATTTCCTCGAACCTCAACCCTGCTCCTTTAAAGAGGAGTCTCGGAGCTCTTTCATGCACATGCTAGTGTAAGGTAAACAGCGTACGGAGTACGGACCATGCCTTGGCCCCTCCGTCTCACAAGGCATTGACAGCCGTTGGGGTCGTCATCCCAAGGCTTGGTTTTCTTACACACGTACGGAGAACGCATGGCAACGGCACGGCAAGGCAAAGTCGGCAACGGGCTGCATATTGGCATTCACGCATTTCTGAAGATCTTACACTAGTCCGTCACTCTGCACCAACTTTTGTGTGTTTCGTTGCTGCAGGTGCAACAGGTGCAACAGGTGAGCAGTAAGCACTCTCACTGGTGGACGAAAGACAGAAAGAAGAAGGGGGAAAAAAAAAAAGAAGAAAAAAAAGATAGTGGCCCCTTGTGGGAACGGGTGCGAGGAAGGGATGACGACGATTGGTGGCGCGCATCAGAGGCCCGCCACGCCACGGCACGCGCGCCTTGGGCTGGGGCCGAAGTTTACCGGGCCATGCAGGCGCTGGACCCGCTCGGGGCCAGCAAAGCGAACCGAACAACAGCCTTGAGATTCACGGTTCATGCGGGATTCCCTCTCAAGACATTCGGTTGCTTCCCTTGATTGTGTATTTGGATGAGTTTACTCTTCTCTTCTGTCCTGCTTTGTCCTGAGGGAGCTCCATTTGGTCTCTGGTTGGTTGGACTCCGATTCGTAAACAGGTGCCTCTCTGTTCAGTCCCTTTTGTGTGTTGTTCCGATGGCGGATGTCATGTCCCTTTAGAGCTGCAGAAAAACCCACATTGCCCCGAGATGAGAAGAGCCAACAACCCCGGCCTCTGCAAGGTACCTTACGAATACTATCCGTAAACCACTTTGCGCGGCTTGGCTTGAGCGCTTCCGCAACTCATTCGCAATTCCCTATTGTAATAGTTTCCCTCTTTCTTTTGTTACTTTTGCTCGTTCTCTGTTTCTCTTCCCCTTTATCTCTCGGATCGCTCTCGGTAATTGAGTACGGAAATACTTTGCGTCTTGCTGACACAAAGCACCACTTCAAATCTTGGGAATTCGCCTCCCGCTCTGTTCTGTCTTGTCTCTCAGTCTCTTTCTCAACTGCCAAAGCTCCCGTCTCGTACCTATCTCTTGGCTCCATTAATTGAGTCTGCTTACTATTCCTCGTTTTTTTTTTTTTTTTTGCAAAAACAAAACGCACGTGCAAAAAGGATCCGATCCGAGGAGCTTTCGTTTTTGTGTTTTCTCGCAAGACAGGCACCTAAAAGTATCTCCGTACTCCATTTCGCCATCCGATCCCATCCTTCCAAAGGTCCCCCTTGACCTTCCCCCCGAGAAAGGCACCAGGGTCCAGCTGTTCTGTCGATCTGCGGCCTGCTCCTCTCCGTACTTACGCCCCGGCCAATCCGATTCCCGCATTGTTGAGATCCGCCCGCCGCTCAACTACCTCAACAGACTTAGAACGCTTTTTTATTTCCTGGAGAAAGCAGCTGCTTCTTTCGGTCCCTTCTTTTTCGGTCTCTGTCCTGTCTGAGTTTCACTGACCTGCATTCCTGTTCCCGTTCCCCTCCTCCTCCTGCTCATCCCTCCCACGCTCCCTCCACCCTTCCACCGCCCGCCCTTTACGCCAAGGCCCCTCCCCTCCCGTTGGGTGTATAAGCCAATAATTGCCATCGCCTCCCGCTCGTGGGCTTATCCGTAAACATCGACTCGTCCCGCAAATCTACAAACCACAACACAACCGCACTCCTTATCACCAAAACACCGCATATCTTCAGTGTAACACAACCAAAACCACAACTGCGGGACCACACTTGCACGTGTAAATCCAAACGAAGGCGAGACCGACATAGTTCAACAATCCGGAATCCCACCAACCTTTTACCTGGCTGCGGTCTCTACCGCCGAGCCCCCTACTCCGAACCTTGTTTTCGCTTGAAGCATACCCGAGGTGCTTCTGTTAATACCTACATATTTCTGACTTCCTGTTGGTTGAGTTATGGAACCCATTGCCAACATGGCTTCCCTCAAGTCACCTTGCAGCGGCGCCGCCATTCAGGACGACGACGACTTCACCACTGCCACCGCCTCGGGAGCTCAGACTGAGGGCTCCGAAGTTGCTCGGAAAAGACGACACTCCCACTTTATTCCTAGACGCAAGTCCATTGTCAACCAGATCATGGACGGCGAGGAGCACTTGTTACTAAAGGTATGCTGACTTGCAATTACAAACCTCGGCTGCCGTTCAGGGTTGCATTTCTCTTCTTACAGAGACACTGTGACAAGAACTTGTCCGAACACGAGGGGAGAGACATGCTGACAGTACTCCTCCACAGGTCGATCTCTTCCTGACCGAATTAGAACGCCGCCTCGAATTCCTCGAAAACTACGGCGAGCTCACTTTCGACTCGAGCATATCCCGCGCCTTCTCCACCCTCCAGACCGTCCGCGCTCGCTGCTCTTCTGCCTCGGAGGAGGTCCTCGGCGCCGGACGCAGGCGCCTGCACATCATGGTGGAGACACTCGAAGCCCGGTACCAGGGCGCCCTGGCCTCGGCCGAATCCCTCAACGAGAAGGCCCGCGTTGGTATCGAGCTCCTGGACGACATGCTCACCGAGTTTGAGAACAAGGCGCACAAGTTGCGGGAGCAAGGCCTCGCCAATGCCGCCGACACGGCAAGCGCATTCATGAACGAGGGCCGAAGAGTTGTGGACGAGAGTATCGGGCTCGCGCGAGAGGTCGTCGACGAGGGTATCGAGAGAGCCATGCGCGCCGCTGAGAATTTGGAGGAAAAGATTGCCCACGCCGTCGCGCGGGCCAGGGAGACGAAACTCATCACCTACGACGACCTCCCCATGCCGTGGCGCATCAACCCTCACATCCGCGATGGATATCGTTTTACCGAGTCCAAGCTCGAGTGCATCTGGTCGGCCTTCCGCCCCTCGAACGAGCTGGTCAACATTTGGTCTCACGCCATTGGCCTCTTCATTGTTCTCGCCGTCGCCCTCTATTTTTACCCCCGCAACATCAACTTCCAGTTCAGCACCAAGACGGATATTTTCGTTGCCGCCGTCTTCTTCTTCACGGCGTGTCTGACGCTGGTATGCTCAACAATCTGGCACACCATGAACGCCGTGGCCGACGTAGACGCAATCAGCATCTTTGCGTGTGTCGACTACACGGGCATCTCGCTGCTGATTGCAGCGTCCATCGTCACGACCGAGTACACGGCCTTCTACTGCGATCCCGTCAGCCGCTGGTTGTACATGGGTACGACGGCAGTCCTCGGCATCGGCGGCGTCATCCTCCCATGGCACCCGACCTTTAACGGAGCTGAGATGGCATGGGCCCGCGTCGCCTTCTTCTGTGGTCTTGGCGCAACGGGGTTCCTGCCGATCCTGCAGCTCTACTTCTCCCACGGGCCCGACTTTGTCTGGGAATTCTACACGCCGATTGCCAAGAGTATCTTTGTATACCTGCTCGGCGCTTTTGTCTACGCCAGCAAGATTCCCGAGCGTTGGTGCCCGGGCATGTTTGACTACATTGGCGGAAGCCACAACTTGTGGCATCTGGCGGTTCTCGGTGGTATCTTGTTCCACTACACGGCGATGCAGTCCTTCTTTGCCAATGCCTTCCGGCAGGCGCAGGGAGAGTGTTCCGTCTTTTGAGGTTGAGGCGTGAATGTACGCCGCGTTTTGGCTCGGGCTTGCTTCGATATGCCAGTCGTATTCTGCTGTGATGCGACTACGGAGAACTTGCTTTGCCCGCGGTCATACATATCCTCCTTTCCGGGAACATCTCGCACTGGTGCCTGTTGTCCAAAAGGGCTGTATCTCCCAGCCTTGCCCTGGACAGCAGTAGGCGCCATCTGGCATCAGTCGACCCGACGCCTCCTCGGCTCCAGACCCATCATGTTGGGTTATGTTGGGCCGAGCATCAATGTCCACACTGGCAATCTTATATCGCTTTAGAAAGCTTAGGACATCATCCCATGGTCATCTTTCCCGGGGGATAAAGGCGGACAAGCTGTCAGGATATTGACGTTCGTCAGCCCTAGAAACTTTTCACGCCTCGCAGAGCCGGACAGGGACGCTGTTATTTTCAACAAAGTCACACGTTCTCCCGCTCAGTAGTCACGGGCTGGCCACGCCCAGGGAAAGGAGCGCCCCCATTACCAAGCCATTGAAAATGGTAATCGGCTCGGCGGCCGGACCAGCCGTTGGAGTAATACTTATTGCATTGACATGATTTTGTCTGTCCACGACTTGTGTCAGCATTTAGATTAGATTACAATACCTAATAGGGCAAGAAAGCTAGAAAACAGGGCTTGAGGTCATCACTTCTCCCCCTGCGCTCGTTAATAGAATAGATACCCATCTGTCTAAAAGTTGGATGTTGATCTTTTTGATAGCACATACTTGCACTTCTTGTTGACTCTGCCGTTGCTTTTTTCTTAGGGAGACTGTTTGATGAGAGCCTTCCTTATTAAGATTTCCTAATGATCAAAATGGCCCGAATCCTCCTTGATTAGTTGTAGAGGTTCAGGATCTGAACAGGCGTAGTGTACGGTCCTCGTCACCTGCCTCTCCCAACTTTCCTCTCTCTGCACGCCTCGCTTTCCTGTCCTTGCGCCTCTGCTCCCTTTTCCGCATCCCGATTCCCACTTCCACTTCAATGTCTCAAAGTTGGGTGTCCATTTGCCGGGAAGGGCATGCTTCAAGGCCATGGGACCGCCGAAACTCTCGTCTGGATCTTTGCTGTGATCCGACTAGGTGCTTAAAGGAGAAGAAGAGCCACTACTATCCTGAACTACCCTCGCTGTAGTCCATGCTCCTAGCCGTCGTGTTCGTCAGTTGTCATTGCAACCTTGTCCGTGTGCCGGGAGGGTGTTGGTCTTTTGGTCAGTCGGTTGATGGTTGATTGTCAACGTCCGCTGGCTCTCCGGCTGTGAAGTACTGGGCTCGGTGCCATTCAACTCGAGAGATGGTAGATGGTTGTCATCATTCCCCATGGTGTCGCTTCTGGTGACTGCTGACGGCGAATCCGTGTGCTCGCTGCTATCGTCTTGTTCGTCTCCATCATCCTCTTCATCTTCATCGTCATCTTCATTGTCATCGGTGTCCTCTCGTGTGCGGAGTCTGGCAAGATTTCTGGCCATCGAAGCCTCATCTACCTCAGCCTTGTGCCTCATCCAGGCCCGGCCAATCTAGAGATGTATGAATTCGACATTTTCTTATTGTCAACCAAAGATTCAGATTGAGACTTACCTCGGTCTCAGTACAAAATTTCTTCAATTCCTCCGCCGCCTCCTTGACTGCTAGTCGTAGTTCTCGGCTGACGGGCATCTTCTTGAAGCATTTCGTCTCTTGCTGATTGACACAGCGCTCGAGTTGCTCTGAGTAAAAGACGGAAGTAGAAAGAAAGAGATTTCCGGTTGGTTCTCAACAACCTCGCTCCAGGTAAAGATGAGAGAGTCGTGATTGCCTTTTTGAAAGAGTGGGAAAGAAGAGAAAGTAAGGAGGCCAGAGATATCTCTGTCAGGTAAGGTAAGTAGGTACGGCTATGGATTTTATAAGTGACGACGGGCCTCGAGCCGTACGGGAAGGTACGATCAAGCTTTCACCACTCGTAACTTCTCCCGCCAACATTTCTACGTTAAGTTGTCAGGAAAACAGAAGAAACTTTATAAATTCTTCATTTTCATCGTCTTCTTCCTCAAACCGTTCTTACCTCCGAGGAAATAACGTTTGTATGATTCAATCGCGACGTTTTGCGCTCACTTTGCAGCCACAAAGTCTATTGTGCTTAGGCGGCGACGTAATACCCTGCAAAATGCCTCTGACTTTCGATGAATCTGCTTATAAGGAGATGAACTCAGGCGTCAAGTTTGACACGAGGAGATAGCAGAGTAAAACAACCGGGCCGTACCTGAGGTTGCTGTGGTCGGTCCATAGGCAATAGTCATGACAGGTCAACACGCAGGGCCTACCAAGATTCATTCTGAACTCGCCTTTCCGCCCTATGTCTTGCAGGTTACGGAACAGCTAACGGGCTTGTAGATGACGAGAGTTGATGACCAAATGACGAATGATTTAAGAATAATCCTCTTATGGCTTATAGTATTACTGACGGAATCAGCGCCTGATAAGCATTTGCTCTTGTCTTAGCAGTCGGATTTTCTTACCGATGCACTGTCTGCTGGATTCGCATGAAGACTGGAAGACAACATGTACAGTTTTCAATCGTCGATGGGTACGTCAGCCTTCATTGTGTTCGTCGTAACATCTCGAGGACGCCTGATCGTCAGAAAGGGTAGCCGCATCGAATGAAATACGTTTCCCTTAGCGATGACCGCCCTCTCTCTTTCCCATTGTTATCTTCCTTGATCTCCTCGGCCGGGAGCGGTCCCGGGTGCCTAGCAGCTGCCATCAAAGTCAAAGATTGAAAACATGGTTTTTGAGTCTTCTCACAGCTAGATTGGCTATGGAAACGTTCTCGTGGAATTGAGAAGTCAAGATGGGCGGTCTAGACTCCATCGACAGGGCCACATTTCCGCGGTTGTCGTGCGAAAGCCTGCACCGCGTTCCATTCATTCATGAGGCGTTTTTCCAGGGAATAGATTCTTCGATATTCAGCCCTATGACCGACTGTAGTACAGCGAGCAGCTCTTCATTTCTCTCTAGGCATTCGCTCTGGTGGCTGTATGGACGGAACAGACCAGATCACGGCTACTCACCAACGGCCCGACAGTTTCGAATACGACGAAGCATCTATGGGAGAGCCATCCAGCCTCTGTAATGGCCAAACATCAAGTATGAAACCAATCTCTTGATATTCATCGCTGATATCCGCCTTCAACAGTCGACCAAGCTCTCAGCGACCGGAGCAACAAGCTCATCGCCTGATTCGAAATAGACGGTCAACCTCCAAGCTGGTATTGTCTCCTTTGACTGAGAAGAAACCATATTGTGACATTTTGAAGGGAGAAGCCATTCAACACGCTGCATCATCAACTCTATACCTGCTTCGCCACGCCAACACCTGCCTCACATCACCACCCACCTCGCCCAACCACGATACAAACCTCGAAAGAGCCTCGGACATCACCCTTTTGTCTCGAAAACTTATAGTTAGGGGCAAATCCGTGCAAAAATGCGAGAGGAACTCGTTGGCGGGAAATTTTGTATGAGAAAGCAAGTGCTTGGTGAAGATCTTATAAAGTAGATTGATTTGAGGTAAGGTACTTTGAGTGTTGGCGACTTCGCAATTGCGGTGTGGCTGCATGAGATGTGAGAGAAATAAATAGTGAGTCTGGGTCGGCCAAGCAGAAAGGTGGCATTATGTTGACATCGATATAAATCCCTTCCAATATGAAATATCAAGGAGGGGACGTGATAGCCACGCGGGCCAACATCCTTCTCTATCTCCCGGGTGGAATTCCTCAACGAATACTCCACAAGAACGAAGCAAAGATGAGATCTTGAGGCTCTGAATCATGGGATCATATTCATCGCCTCTCGGCCCATGTCTAGTTTACAACGGAAGCCAAGGCAAAAGTCATGGGTGGAATCTAGAGAAGCCATTTAGAAAGTGTTTATGGGATTATCTACTAGAAATCCCACAATAATCCGACATCTACCTGTAAAACCTCAGGTCAGCTCAGATCAGGCTCAATTTCCGTGTGCTGAAATCATAACCCGAACAGATGAAACGGACACTTGGTGATGAGCGAGGGGAGAGGCTCTGAAGGTAGCTAGCCACTTCATAGGACAGAGGGATTGCAATACCGTTAATGATATCAAACATTCTAATCCAAGATTCTGATAATGGTTACAGGAACAACTCTAGAAATCTGATGTCTCATCGCCTACTTAGGAGGCTAATGGTCACTCAAGGCAAACCAGCTGCTTTGCTCAACTGTCACACGAATAACGCCGAGGTCCTTTGACGAAAGACAAAAGGTATCGGATTCTCCTGCGAGTTGCAACCGGTGACCGAAGAGAGAGAGGTATCCCATGAAGAGTAACATACAGCTTGTCTACCAACGCGAGGCAATCAAACATATGTGGGATCAAGTTCCGGCTATATAACCAAAGCAAGCGTAGATTGACGTGTAAACAGGAGGGGGCTCGACAGTACGATCGTCCCTGCCTCAGCTTGTGGACTGATACCTATCCTTTCACGCCATGCGCACTCACCTAATTTACACAAAGATGCTCTCAGATACTGCCAATATCCTCCCCGAAACTGAAGAATCACTTGCTCAATACGTGTTTCTACGACCTCTAAGCATCAGATATTCCCGTCAATGACCCATTCCCGGGCCGACCAGTCCCTTGAATCCTCTCACAAACCTGGCAGGGTGTCCCATTAACCCCCCAAGCCCGATCTGGGAAACCATCAGAGACGACCTCAAAGCCGTACACGAGGCCCTTCTCCAAAGACTCACACGCCAGACGTGACGTGCTCTCTACCCTCATGCATGCATGTAAACCGACTACACAGTAGACATTACCACCGAGCATCGGCCGACGCGCCAAGTCACCAATAACGCGAACACCACCGCAGTTGCTTCGGGGGCGGAGGAAGCCATCAAATTACGAAGATCCTCATCGACGTCATCAACGACCAGACCAAAAGAGACTCGAGGCAATAGACTCTCTCCGGACAATTTCCCACCCGAAGAAAAAGGGCTGAACTAGGACGGAAAGTCGCCGAAGGACCGACTGCTCGGTCCGCCATATCTCCGTTCTCCCCTTCAGAAAATACACACAACTCCTCGAGAAAGAAGCCCCCCAGCTCGATAGTCTGCAAGCCGGCTCTTCTCTAGTCCACGCCATTCAACGTTCGCGCTGCTGCAAATCAGAGAAATATCATTAGATGAAGAGCCCAAAGAACATCATAATCAACAACAACCGAGGCAGCAACAATTGCGAATGCCACTCATTGGAGGGAGAAAAAAGCCACGAGGCCACCTGTGTGAACCCCGCACATCGACAAGCCCATGATCAACACTTGGAGATCTTTCCACCCCAATGTACCGCACCGTCTGCCTCGGTTTCAACCAAGACTGAACATCGGACACCCCTTCTGCTACCTGAGCAATCAACAGAGGGAGCGAAAGACTCAATTCGCAAAGTACACCTCATTCATCTCATGAGAATACGGCATCTGT